AGATGCTCTAAGGGCCTGGAACACCCCAGCGGGGTGTCGTAGGTGGTCCTCCCAGTTGCTACTGTAGACTACAATGTTGTATATATAAGCCACTGCATACTGATCTTGAGGCAAGATCTTATTCATCAGCCGCTGAAAAGTAGCTGCGGCTCCATGTAGCACGAACGGCGTGGTTACAAAGTGGAGGAGGCCGAATGGTGCCAGAAAGGCCATTTTTTCCCGGGAGTTTGGTGTTAGGGGGATTTGCCAGTACCCTTTGGTTAAATCTAGGATAGACAAATACCTCGCTCCCCCAAGTTGTTCTATGAGTTTTTCCACATGGGGCATTGGGTATGCATCAAACCGTGAGATAGCATTGACCTTCCGGAAATCTATACAGAATCTTCCAGGTCTTCAAAAGATTCATGTGGTACGTATGGGTATCCCTCCATCGTCCGGGCAGCTGGACCTCGTAATCTACCGGCCCGACCCACTGGGTCACCTCATAAGGCTCCTGCCATTTGGCCAGGAGCTTTGACTCTGCACAGGGCAACACCCGGTCCCCAGGGTCGAAACTTTGGACCTTAGCCCCTCTGTTACAGAGCCGTTCTTGTGTCTTTTGGGCCCGCATCAGGTTTTCTCGGGCGAAAGCACCCAGGGCTTGGAGCCACTCTCGGAGGTGTAACACATACTGGGTGGTCCTGAGTACCCATGTCTCCTGCGCCTCCCAATCTTCCCTCAGGAGGTCCAGGATCCCTCTGGGCTGTTGCCATACAAGAGTTCAAAGGGTGAGAACCCAGTCGATGCTTGGGGCACCTCCATTATGGCGAACAGCAGGGCTGGCAATAGTGCATCCCAATGGGTGGGGTTCTCCACAAATTTCCACAACATGGACTTCAGTGTACCGTTAAAACGCTCCACAGGAATCGGAACATTCAAAAACCTGTAGGAGAACACTTCAACCTCTCGGGTCACTCAGTAACAGACTTAAAGGTGGCAATATTGCAACAGAAAAGCTTCAAAAACAGACTCCAACGAGAAACTGATGAACTTGAATTAATATGCAAACTAGACACTATCAACTTAGGTTTAAATAGAGACTGGGAATGGCTGAGCCATTACACACATTGAATCTATTTCCCCATGTATCCTCACACCTTGTTGTCAAAATGTCTGAAATGGGCTATCTTGATTACCACTTCAAAAGTTTTTTTGTCCTCCTGTTGATTATAGCTCATCTTAATTAATTAGCCTCTTAGAGTGGGTAGGGCAACCCCCACCTTTTCATGTTCTCTGTATGTATATATAACTCCTTATTATATGTTCCATTCTATGCATCCAATGAAGTGGGCCCACGAAAGCTTATTCAAATAAATTTGTTAGTCTCTAAGGTGCCACAAGTACTCCTCCCGGTTCAGAGGATAGAGTTTATCGGAGCGGTGCTCGATTCTGCCTAGGCCAGTGCCTTCCTCCCAGGGGTCCACTTCCAGTCAGCGTAGTCACAGGTCAAGGCCCACTCAGGCTGTTGGGTCACATGGCCTCGTGCATATACGTGGTGTAGTATGCAAGGTTGCACCTCAGACCCCTTCAGGCTTGGCTGGCCTCAGTGTACCGGCCAAACAGCCATTGTTTGGACTCAGTGCTCACAGTGCCTGCCCGTCTCGGGCACCTCAGGACACAAGGTCAGTGGTCCCAGCAGGAACTCTTGCTACAGATAAACATCAGAGAGCTCAGGGCACCTAGCACGGCTGGTGTTCTTACCCCACATCGCAAGCAAGGTGCTGCGAGTTCTTACAGACAACATGGCAGCCATGTTTTACATCAACAGGCAGAGAGCGGCCCGCTCTTCTCCTCCCGTGTCAGGAGGCCATTTGCTTGTGGGAGCTCTGCATAAAGCACTCAATCCACCTCGAAGCTTCTCACTTTTCGGGAGCCCAGAATGAGCTGGCAGATCAGCTCTTCTCAGCGCGAATGGTCCCTATGCTCCGACATAGGAAGGGCCATTTTCCAGTGCTGGGTGCTCCCCTCGTAGGCCTGTTCACAACCAGACAGAACAGGAAATGCTGTCTGTGTGACTGCAACCTGGGCTTTCTCACAGATACCTTCTCACTCCCATCTGTTCTGCGCCTTTCCCCCCATTCCTTTTGTGCACAAGGTCTTGCTGAAGGTCAAGGGCGAAGGTTATTCTCATAGCCTCAGCCAGGCCACATTGGCACTAGTTTGGCTTATTTCTAGATCTGTCAGTAGCAACTCCAATGCTGCTCCCTCCCCTTCCAGACCTGATCTTGCAAGATCACGGCCAACTGCTCCATCTGCCAGACAGATCCATAGTTAAGCCTGTAGAACTGGCCTGTTCGGAGCAGGTCTGTTAGGTCTTCTAGCAGAGCTACTTACCTCACCAAGTGGAAGCGTTTCTCCATGTGGCCTACCCAGCAAGGCACTGGGGTGCCAGAACCTCCCTATGAGTGGGGAGCCACCGGTGCTGAAATGGTGACTCCGCCTCTTCCCCTGATGCCCCCCCCCACTCCACCTCTTCTCCTGAGGCTCCACCCTCTCCCCCCTGCTTTCACCTGCTACTAAAGTGGCCCCTTGGTCCCCCTGTTCCGGCACCCCTGCCTCTCACCCACTGAGTCATCTGTCAGATGAAGCAGATACTCCAGAACAGTCTGGAAACAGCGGACACACAATATGGACAAGTACACAAAAATTACAAGAGCAACTTGCTGCAAGCGCCAACAGTTGGACACACTTACAATACACACTGCAGGATGGTGCTAACAAAATTTTAACCCTATCAAAGGAGGAGAAGCAGTGTTTTTGGTGGTGGCCAGGATGTTGGACCATACTACAGTGGTCAGGACTCTCGGTGTTGCTGTGGATTATCATAGCAGCTGGTGTATTGTTAACTCTATCTGTGTTATGTTGCATATGGAAACAATCAAGGGGGGCACAACCCCCTAGAGAACAGCCACTAATTATAACCTATAAGTAAGGTAGTACGCCCTCCCCCCAGTGTACTAGACAACCCGGACCCAACCTTCTCGGGCCCACCCCATGTTCCTCCCAAAGGTAGCCTTGCGGGCTATTTTCCTTTCCATTTTCTTCCCAAAGCTGCACAAGAAGAGGGAGGAATGACATCTCCATTCTCTGGATGTTAGGCACACTCTAGTGTTCTATATAGAAAGGACTATATAGAAAGTCGATCTATAAATCCACGCAGCTCTTTGTGGCAGTAGCTGATAGGATGAAAGCCCTACCCATTTTGGCTCAGAGAATTCCAGCCTAGATCACATTGTGCATTTACATGTGCTATGAGCAGGCAGGTATCCCACCACCTGCCTTCCTAATGGCCCATTTTATGAGAGCACAAGCTTCCTCAGTGGTGTTCATGGCCCAGGTCCGATCCAGGACATTTGCAGAGAAGTGACCTGGGTATCAGTACATACTTTTTCTTCCAACTAGAAATGCACTGGGTTTGGTTGGGCAGTGTTGTAATCCACGTGTCCATGAACTCCGAGCCCACCTCTTACGGTACTGCTTGGCAGTCACCGAACGTGGAAAGGATATGTGCAAGCATTTGAAGAAGAAAAAATGGTTACTAACCTTTCTGTAACTGTTGTTCTTTGAGACTTGTTGCACACGTCCATTCCATGAGCCACCCTCCTACTCCTCTGTCGGAGTTGCCGGCAAGAAGGAACTGAGAAAGTGTGGGGTCAACCGGTCCCCTTATACCGCGACATAAGCGCATGGTACCAGAGGGCACTAGAGCCGGCCTGATGGGCATGACTGAGGGGGAAATTTCCAGCGACTGTGTGCGGAGCATGCACACCTAGCGTGGAATGGATATGTGCAACACATCTCTAAGAAAAAACATTACAGGAAGGTTAGTAACTGGTTTCTATCCAAACCTGTGGCATAGTTCAGGGACACAGCTTAGTGGGCTTGGCTCTCACCTATGGCTGTTAAACCAAATTGTATTTTGATCCCTTGGCCTACACTCTAAATGATTAGTGATTTTTGGGTGTCTGAGATTCAGAGGCCGGGTGCTCCCCACTTTCTGATCAGGTCCCTTTAAAAGATCTCAGTTGGGCACCCAAAATCACTAGTCATTGCTGAAAATCTAGGCATTTACCTCGATGTATCTAATGCAGGGTGGGGGAGGGGTGAAAATATATTTGCGACTCTGTGTGGGTTATTTTTGTGCCCCCACATTCTGCCCTGTTTGCCAAGCTAGGGGCCAAGCGTTTCAGTGTTTCTCGTGATCCCCACAGTGTTCTCTGTTCACCACAGCCTCCCTCTCCCCTAAACTCTCCTTCCTGTCCCCATGCCCACATCCCCCCCCCCCCCAGTCTCCCTGCCTCCTGTCAGCCCAGGGGTGGCTGTAATAACTAAGCCTGGTCTTGGTTGTGTGCGAGATGGTGGCCATTATTGTGAAGATTAGCCTGGTTGTAGGAAAATGGTGGCCAGCTAAACTGGCCTGATCCTTACAAGGAATCACCTTGAGACAGTGGCCATGTGAAAAAGAGGCCAAGCATCAGAAGTTGGTTCTTTGCCGTTCATAGATTGAGTTGGGGGCACGGGGAAGATGGTGCAGGGAAACAGAGGGACCCTGGGGATTCTGTGAGGTCATTAAACCAGAGCAGAGGTTAGTGTGGGGGACAGACCTATACCCCCTCCCCACAGGAACATGTGTGTACCATGAATGGAGGAGGTGAGGGACCAACTGACCCTGAGGATCCTGCAAAATTAATACAACCAGAGCAGGAGAGAGGGTACAGACCCTCTGCACTCTCTCTCTCTCTCTCTCTCTCTCCCTAAAATGACCCTGACGACAACAGATGGAGAGGGCGCCCCCTGCGGGTTTGCGCTCCCTCTTGAAAGGAGCTGGGAGGGTATAGGACCCCACAGCACAAATGGGAACCCCATTTCTCAGGGGAGGGAGGGCCCACTGGACTACCTGCTGTGGGGTCTTGGTGAGATTTTCAGAGAGAGGCTGCTGCTGACCCTCAGCTGTGTTTCAGGGTTTCACATTATCCAGGTGATAAGCGGCTGTGATCTCCGGGAAGACAACGTCATTCAGGGGTTTTACCAAGATTCATATGATGGACGAGACTTTCTTACTTTGGATAAGGAGACCATGACTTGGGTAGCAGCAGATATTGGGGCTCAGATCACCAAGAGGAGATGGGATGCTGAAGTATTGGACAACCAGCAGTGGAAACGCTACCTGGAGGAGGATTGTATTTCCTGGCTAAGGAGTTCTCTAGAGTACGGAAATGAGACTCTGCAGAGGAAAGGTAAGGCAGGGGGACAGGCCCCACCCAGGGGACACTACTGGTTACATCTCCATTCCCCAACCCCAGTTCCAAAATGGAGCAGGGGGGTAGGGGGCAGTTCAGCTAACCTTGCGCCAGGGATGGGTGGGAAAACACACACACCCCCAGTCTGCTCTGGTGGAAAAAGATATAAGAAATTGATAAATGTTAAAAACAGCTCATCTACAGTGAGCAGCATCCCCAGAGCCACTTGACCAAATGAGCCCAAATTTACACCAGAAATTCTACCTCTTCCCTTGGTGTGACGCAGTGTTATCAAGGCAATCTGCCTGTGCGTGTACATGTTAGAGCACTCTGAAAAATAGACTCTGTAGAGAAAGCTCCAGTGAACTTTGATTATGGAAGTGCCACCATTTCTATTGACACCAGCTTCAAACACCATGTAATTCTTCCTCATTCACTGTCTGCACCATCATATTTGTTGTGTTACCCCCAGCCCTTGTGTTCCACCAATGACGGTAGCTTCGTTGCCTCTTTGTCCAAACTTCTCCCACAGTCATCTATGTGCTTTCTTCCATGCCATCCCCAACATGTGGAATTGCCCTCCCCATACTAATCTGGAAGAAGGCTCCCCTTGTCCATAAAGTTTTCCCCCTCAAGATCTACCTTTGCTGCAACGCTTCCTTAATTATTACTTGATTCTTTTAGCAATAAGACATCAGATAATCACACTTAGTCAAATTTATTACCAAAGCTTTTTAGTTAAAGATTAATCAGCATAAACATAGAAGGGAAGAGGATAAATGCTTTACTTTTCCATCTCAGGAGGACAGTTGCAGCGTAGTCTGCTTCAAAATGTTAACTCAATATTACCGATGTATGTACCTTGTCTGTTACCATGGACACAAATTTCCCAAATTAGTTAGCATCATTACACACCCTAATCTTTCCCTTCCCAGTTTGCCCTTCCTGTTCAAGGTTACTTGAAATTTGTAAGAATTCTACTACATTCGACAGCATGTAAGATTTGTAAGAATTCTACAGCAAGAATTCTACTACACCTCTACCTCGATATAACGCAACCCCATATAACACAAATTTGTATATAATGCGGTAAAGCAGTGCTCCGGGGGGGCGGGGCTGCGCACTCCAGCAGATCAAAGCAAGTTTGATATAACGCAGTTTCACCTATAACGCGGTAAGATTTTTTGGCTCCCGAGGACAGCGTTCTATAGGGGTAGAGGTGTAGTGCTTATTTCTCTCACAAACCTCTGCAGAACATTATCCTGTCCTTTGCCATCTTCACAAATGTCAGGAAGAAAAAGCCATACACAGCAGTGTAATGTGTATTTCAGTGTCAAGGGGCTGGGAAACCGATTTTTCAACATATGTAAATCCTTTGAAATCCATAATATTGGGGTAAATAGATTTGGTAACAACCAACAAGAAATTAGCCAATTAATATTAGTTAGTTTGAGGGCCAGTTTACAACCATGTGTCTCTTTTTGTTTAATGGTCCTTTCCATCTCTAATTGGTCAGTTTATCTAGTTCATTTTTTGAGCCCTGGCCAGGGCAAGATTCTTCGCTCTTTCATATCCAAGGACTGATAGGAGATGAGCACAAATGTAGCATGTGATTAAGGATTGACACCTGTATCTGGAGCTTAGAGAAGCCTTTCAAGGTACTTGTGTCACTGTGGTTGGGAGCAGAGTCTTCTGGTTTCCACACTCATAGAATCTGGTCAGGGACCTGGATTCAGGGTTCACCATTGCTGATGCTGTGAATTCGGCACAGAAATCCTCTAACATGGTGGTTCTCTCTCATCAGAGGGATTCCGTCTAATGGACTCTCATCCTCTCCCACTGCTCGGGTCTCAGAATTACTTGCTGCAAAGCTCCAGCAAAGACTGCCTGGATTAGAGCTTGAAAACAGCTAACTTCAATTTCTTCTTTTTTCCAGTGCGCCCAACAGCTAGAGTGAATGACAGGTCATCTCATGACGGCCTCACCACCCTCTCCTGTAAGGTCAGTGGGTTCTACCCCCGGGACATCACCGTGACCTGGCTGAAAAATGGGGAGAGCAGACAGCAAGAGACCTACTCTGAAGGCATCCTACCCAATGGGGACGGGACCTACCAGACCTGGGTGACAATGGAGATTGATCCCAAGATCAAAGCCCATTATTCATGTCACGTGGCGCATGAAAGCCTGTTAGAGCCACTCTCTGTCTCCTGGGGTAAGGAGTTTGTGTTTGTCTGTGTTCCTAGTGGGAGAGGGGGAATCCATTAAACTCAACCCCTGAAAAATTCTCATCTGGATTTATAGGCTGAAGCTGGAGTTTTCTTAGGGTCTGTGAGACCCTGTCCTCTTTGGCCCTGTCCCTCTGCAGTCAACTTCTTGGCTAGAGTTGGGACCCACAGTGCCTGGGGCTCATGTCTTGCTCTCCAGTTTGCTGCCTCTGGGGCTGTTGGATACATCTCAGCAATACCGTGTCTGCACAGGGAGAAGATTAATCATGAGACATTAAGGCTGGAAGAGAGCAGTCTGAGCTTCTGCATAGACCAGGGCAGGGAATCAAACCAGGGACCAACCTGGTAGCCTGTGGGCAAACTAGAGCTGATCCTTCAGAAAGAGATGCCCATTCCAGATGTAAAGTCTCTAAGGGATGGAGAATTTACCACATCCCAGGGGAAGCTCAAATCTGCCCCGAATTTGCAGTCAGAATTTGTCTTGCTTCAGCTTCCAGCCTGTTCTCAACTTCAGCAGGTTCTCAGAAACACAGCTCTGGGGGCCGTTCATCCTTGCCCATGTGGCCAGAGAGAGATGTTTAATGTTGGGAGCAGCGTGTTTCTGTGTGCAGTGATGCTGGAAGAGAGGGTATGGCCTTGGAATGGAGCAAGGAGGCAAATTAGAGCCCTGAATCGGGGGGGAAAGTCTCCTATGCCCCTAGCGCAAGGAAGTCTAGGAAGAATTTATTACACGTGGAACTGCCTTCCAGCCATCTTTCTGCTTGGTTAATTGGGATGTGGAAAAATGCAGCATTTGGAAGTGCAACCAATTTCTAAAAGGGCAGCCTTCACTGGAAATCTAGTCAAAAGATGGTTTCACATCATAATCCTGCTCCCACGTCCCCTGCCAATTTTTGTGTCATAAACCACATTTCCTTATTCTCTTATAAATATTTTTGCTGTATTATTATGTGGGTCTTTCAGACAACAGGAGAAGCTGATTAGTAAAACTGAATGTGTATAGAGAACTCGGGGTTTAACAGGTTTATATAAACCAAAAATAGTATTAAAATATCTCTATCCTCTCCTGTTCAATTCCTGCCTCCTCTAAAACCACAAATTGTGTCTGTAACTCCATTCATGGCAGGAAGAAGAACAGGAGTACTTGTGGCACCTTAGAGACTAACAAATTTATTTAAGCATAAGCTTTCGTGGGCTGTAGTCCACGAAAGCTTATGCTCTAATAAATTTGTTAGTCTCTAAGGTGCCACAAGTCCTCCTGTTCTTCTTTTTTGCGGATACAGACTAACACGGCTGCTACTCTGAAACCTTTTAAATAAAGACTTTCTAGACTGTTGTTAATTACTACTGAGGAAATGGGTAAAGCTCAAACAATGTAAGAATGGATATGAACCTTCATCCAAAACTAGAGATCTCTCTAGAGGTTTGGCCTGAGCCACAAAATTCAGGTCTCCACCATGACCTTCAACATCCTTAGAAATTGAGGGGTGTTTTTTTTCCCCCTCCAGAGCTAGGGTCTTTGTTTGCTCCATAACAGAAATAGGGGACACCTGTGAAATTTGGAGCCAGAGTCAAGTTCTGATTATGAAACCACCACTCACCAAAACATTCAGAGAGATGCATACATAATGTTTTACTCTAGGGGCATCTTTATGCAAAATCAGATCCAAACTCTTATTTTGGGTAACTTCTCCGCCCCCCCCCCCCCACCATCCATTACTGCTCATGTTTGTTGTGTCCCTCAGTACTTCCTGGTTTGCGCAGGAAGTAGAAATGAAAACATCAAAAATACCCTGAA